ACAAGTTTCTCTGCGTTTTTGCCTCAATAAAATTGCGTTGTGCTTGTAACAACTCCGCTTTGAGTATTGGGTAAGACATTTTTATGTAATATCGATAGCGACAATACTAATAGTAATCTAATCTAGCCTAATCTAACAAGGTATTGATGTATAATGTATCATTTTTATCTTTTGCAGAGTTTCGGCAATGGCGTTACTGTAACAAATCGTGAAATTTCGCGTCGCACAGGTTTCCGTTTTTTACTCGTTTTAAAATATTCACTAAGCAATGGACATGTCTAATGTAGTATCGGTTAATGTAAATGCGCGAGAATATTACATGTATGAATATTGTGCATTATAAGTGCACAAGAATATTCGCGATTAATGTATCGGGTATCGATGTGAAGTTGTCAGCGCGTTCTACTCGTTTTTGCGTGCAAAGCAAATGTCGGTCATAGTGTCGGTTGTAGTGTTGGTTGTATTGTCGGTTGTGGTGTCGGAATGTAATGTCGATTAGTGCAATGATAAGTGTGTAAGAATACTCGCGCGATTACACAGAGTATGATCTTTGTAATATCGTAAGTTAGAGTACAAATTTATCGAGTGATAAGTGTTTTACGTTATTCGTCGCTTGAAGTGCATCATAGATGTAAGCGGAACCAAGATATTGATGTCGACTCTCCTGATCCTGTCAACTCTCAATGTATCAGTTCTCAACATATCAGCAAAGGTAAGTGAATAGTATTAAGTGTTTGTTTGATATTTGATTTGTTATAAATATTTGTGTGTACTGATTCGCATAATCAGATTGTAAATTTTTACAAACTCTTATTAATATTTTCTTGGGTAATACATATCGAAAATACAATTTGGTATCTATACGAGACTTTTTTGTATTAAACTTTTACACTCAACAAATACCTTACATGTTACATATATCTCTTATACCTATTATATCTCTTTTATTTAAACGTACAATATCCGATGACTTTAAGTCATAATAAATACGAAAACTGAGAAATGCGCTTAAAAGGTAAAAAGGATGTAATGCAAATAAAAATGCTAAATGCACATATATACGAATGCAACAAATAATATATTGGAAAGCAATCGCAAATATCGCGGTTCAATTGTTCGCAGTTAATAGCTACATTTAATACTTATAATAAGTTGCCCTAAGTACTTCGAGAAACGGTAACTCCTACGGCTAAATGATCTTCTTTAAGAACATTTGATATAATCGACAAATAGCAAAAGAGTATTAAATAATCGAAAATCGCGAGACAACGCTGATCACGTACAATTATACATATAAAATGTGGTTTGTGGAAAATCGGGAATCGGTGAAAAGTAAAAGATATTCCATTACTTAAAATCAAATAGCAATATTATTATAAATTTTTTAAATTTTAGCTTAATTTATAAATGGATTTTATTTAAAAAAAAATTTAATTGCTACTCAATAATACTAGAAAATAATACTTAATATAAAATAATCGTAATAAACAATAATTACTATATTAAAGTTTTTATTTAAAACATACTAAATTTACCAAAAAATAGTCAACTATTTTTTGTTTATTGATTCCCGATTTTGTGAATTATTGTGTATAGTATATAATATCATTATGCATTATTTATCCATGTCAACAAAATACTCTAAGATTTATTCTAAGAAGCGAGACTTAACAAAGCTGTCAACAATTAGAAAAAAAAGAAAAGAATAAAAAAGCAAATTTTTAATTATTAATCTAAAAAATGACAGTATCTTCTAGCAATTTTATATCAATCATAAAAGTTCTCAACTAAAAATTAGATCAAACGTGTGAGACAATTGAGCCTAATTTCGCATAATGTTGCGAGTTATTCCATTACAGAATAATCTAAAACCTTTGACATGATCATATTGGCACAGAAATCACTATGCCTTATACATCAAAAACAGTAAAACGATTAACTTCATATAAGTAGAATTAATTAACTTCCAAATTTGTCATTAATTCATTTTTTTCTATTTACATACGCATGACGTGACATATATTTCTTCTTATAAAAATTGTTTACCAAAAACATAATATATGTATATATTATATATTCTTTCACGTTCTAAAAGCGTAGACCAAATTAATCTCCATGGATGTTTTCCTGGAGAATTTTTTCTTAGATTTTTTGCACACTTTCGCATACTATCGCAAAATTTCAAGTTCTTGCTTTTAAGTAGTATCACTGACAAAAATAATCTTTGTCGCGACTGTTATTCGGCAGAATAAAATGGAATCAAGTTACCCCGACATCCTACACGTTAGTGCCTCGCATTTATTAACTCTAGAAGCGATAATGCAAATTCTAAAATTATGGAAATTTTGTCAAAAAAATATTAGCTTACCTATGTTATGTTCAATCAAATAAAATCAAATTAATTATTAAATTAAATTGATACAATATTAATTATCAAATATTAATTTGTAATTTAATATTTGAAAATTATATAATAAATATTATATAACACTGAAGACATAACAAAATAACACGTATTCAAATCTATTGTTACTATAAAACTATTGAAATAACATTTTTTCTTTGTTCAACAAAACGTTGAACACGTACGAAACAAAAATTTAAAGCTGCGAGCTTCTAGAGTTAAAAAACGCTTGCAGAATGGAATTTAGGTCGATGTCGCTTCTATAGTTTTTTGTTGACACTTGAGATCTACCATACAGCACACTTTTTCTCGGGGTTCATTTTGGAGCCGACCGGGCAGTTGAAATCGCGCGAGAACTCTTCCATGTTTGATAGCGGTCCGCGAACGCGAAACTCGCCGGGGCTGTGAAATCCTGTAGTGATGCGCAGTTTCATCGCTTCCGGTCGGTACTTGCTGCACCAAGTATTGGCAGCGCTTATCCAGAACATCTGTTCCGGGCTATATTGCAGACCCGGCAATCTCTGTTCAGGCTTGTTTCGCTTCACCCATTCTCTGTACGCATAATATGCTTCTTTTATGCCGCCGTTATCGGCAATGTTCTCACCTTGAGTATTTATTCCATTTAACTGTAAGCATGTAAAACAGATTACCGAAATTAATTATTTTAATGCATATTATAAAATGTTAATTTATTCTGTATTAAAAATTAGGAATTTTTAGATTTATATTTTTTGCATTTATTTTTTAATAGCGATATATACGTAACTCGAAAATTTTGCTAAAAATTAAATTGTTTCACAAATTTTGATTTTAAATTCTAAAAAAAAAGATACATTTTTTTGTAGAACTATGATAAAAATATATAACATTCCAACGATACTGTATATTTTTAAAATTCTTTGGGTAATCATATGCTGATAGTTATTTGGGAATCAGAGAAAAATATTTTATAGATCAGTATAGAGTACATGCCATTGAGAAAATTTGTCGTCGTTATTTCATGCTGTTATCAAATTTTATTCTAACATTTTTATAGTGTATTGCAAAGATTGACTCAAACTCAATTGTTCTTGCAAAGATAATATACTCTTACGTGGCAAGTGCGATAAAAATACAAATAGTAACTAAAGGTGTATAAATACTAAAGAATGTTATGACAATTGCAGCCATAGTCGTCAGAGAATGCATTGAGAAAAATAAAAGATGATAAATTTTGAAACAATTCAAACAATATAAATAAGTTTCTTTTATTTTTCGAATATCTTTTTGCAGTTAGAATATTCGCATAAAATCTAGAAAAAATTTTATCTTCTGATTACGTCCATATCTTTACAGTCGTTAAATCCGTGATATTCCCTCAATGTTAAAAAAATAAAAACTGAACTTTTTTCAGAAGCGCAAAGTTCAAAACTATATCAGTTATCAAATCATTAATTTTAAATGTGCGTGATTTGTCTTACATTCATTCCAACGTCTTCCACGGTGTAATTTCCATATTGGTTAATTATGCACTCGGCTCTCTTGATATAATACTCTTTCGTCTCTGGTTGCCACCAGTCCACGAGATTACCTTCCTTATTGAATTGCCTACCTTGATCGTCAAAACCATGAGTAATCTCGTGGCCGATGACAAAGCCGATAGCACCGTAGTTCATGTAGCGCGGCCGATCGTTGCTGAAGAATGTGCCTTGCAAGATACCCGCGGGAAATTCTAAAAGTATAAAACATAAAAGAATACTTTGCACTCGGTATGTGCATGACAAATATCATAAACGATAGTTAAATTAATATACATAGGCGGATGATAATTCTGTTTGCCTGATAAGACATACATGACTCAGCTACAAAAACAATAATTATGTGTGCTTCGTATTTATTCACTGATATAATAGATTGCTTATATTTAATACTTACGAATACTGTTCTCGATTGACGAATAGAACGCATTCACGACAGCCGGTCTTGCATGAGTTATCCATTCAGTTTTGTTCACTGGCTTCCTCAGTCTACCGAATGAAAAGTTTGTTCCGAAAATAGTCAGGTTCAAGATGCTTCCTACATAATCAGAAGAATTCAATTCGAGTCCCTCGTAAAATTCATCAAGTTTCTTGTCGTCTAACAATTCATCTGGATAAGCGATATGTGACGTCATATCAGCTGCTTTTTCTAAAGCGTTGGCTCTAGTCTTCTCATCCATCCATTCCACCTAAAAGCGCGCATAAATGTTAGAAATGTCAAGAATTGATGTTTTTTCACGTATCTTTTTTTCTTCTTAATAACAAATAAGTTCCATTTGCAAGATCTTAATTTGTTGATGAAGAAACGTGTATTAAGATTTACATATTTTTAAGACTTTAATTTACGGTTAAAGGGATACTAAGACTTCCATTTTTCTGATTCCAATTTCTAGATAAAAAAATCAATCACGAGATTTCGATCTCTCGCGCTTTGCAATTTCAAGTTCAAGCTCGCGTATTTTCTCACCTTCTTCAAAATCTTCGTGAACTCTTCTCTGATATCACCGACCATTTCGAGTGCGGTCTTTTTCGCGTTCTCCTTGAAATATTTTCTCACGTACATCGAGCCGACGCTAATTCCCAAACTACTAGAAACGATATCCATACATTCTTTCCATCTCGGCTCCCTCTCCGTCTTGCCGTTTAACTCCATCGTATACTTCAACTGTCTCTTCCGGATATCGTCCGTCAGATAGCTAACTGATGCGGCGGCTGCTCTCCAAAGCGCATAATTCGCCTGTACCCTCTTCGGCGTACTCGTGATCAACCGTTCGAAGTCTTTTAGATAGCTGGGCACGTTCACGATAACTATCTCGTTTCGATCTAGCTGCGCGTTCGGTGCGAGAATGGTATTGAAGTATTCCCACCATGGGATGCTAGGATACGCCGCGGACAGCTCGTCTACGGTCTTGGGGTTGTAGAGAAGAGTCACGTTGCGTCGTTTCTCATTGGGCAAAGAGATCTGCGCGCATATTTATCCGTTTAGTCAACGAATATCACGTAACATTTTTTTGATCATTGCAACACTAATTAACACATATATTGATTAATGTAGATTCATATTTTTGTAATATTTTACGTCTTAAACAAAGCATTGTAATTTGAAAACTTATTTAAATTTAATTTAAAAAGCATTTACTTTTTAAAAGTTTACGTATAAGTTAAAAAAAATTATTGACGTCAATTAATGGCGAAAGATAACTTACATTCGCGAGCTTGATTTCGAATTCAAGTGACTCCTTCAATTCAGTGCGAGCTCGGCTTGAATTGGCTCCGAGAATTACAGCAATGTCTACCATGTAGTTGTAATATGCCTGAACGATTTTCTCGTTAAAGCCTTTTGATAGATATTCACGAGAAAGACCGAGAGCTGCTTGATCAAGCTGTAAAGATAATCAATTTAATAAATTTGGCATTAATTTGGTAAAATAAATCTTCATGTTTAGTTGAAAACAAAAGCCCATAATTTGTTTCAGTAGTCTTTTTTTGTAATCGTTGTATGCTTACATCGATTAAACGTCTTGAGTTGTTCTTCAAATCCACGCTGACACCAAAGTCGATAAAGTAATCAACGGAATAGCCCAATTTGCGAAATTTGTAAACAGAATCTTTCCAAGTAAAATCGCCCTCGCTCCATCGTTCAGCATCTAAAACTGGCCAGCCGCCGAGTTTCTTCAGGTTATCCAGTAATGGCTGCAAGCCTCGTTCTTCGATAGCGGCTAAAAAAAAATAGCAGACTTGTAGCTAACAGAAAAAACTTTTCGATTTAACTATCAATTTTATGAATATTATATTATAAAATAAATTTTGTAATTATAAAATGTAAGGGATATTCGATTTGATTGAATTATTACAAGATTTTTTCCTCAATAATTTACAATTTCGCTACAGACTGTTAGATTCATTGCATTCTTCGAGGTTGGCAATTTGCGATAAGGTCATCTCGCGACTTATACAAATCATGCTTACTTTTATTCATGCAGGCCTTGTAGAAATCTTTGGCGAGCCTAAATGGCCTCGGTTCGTTTGGAGGACTCTCTTGTTCAATACTGGCCCGTAATTGTTCTGCGAGATTATCGATGATGATAGAGAACGAATTCACGCTGGTTTTGTCGTCAGGTATAATAGTCGATTCGAGGAAGCCGCCGCAGGCGAATTTGTAAAAGTCATCGCAGGGCTCCACATCACGATCCATATTCTTCAATACTTGCGAGGCTGCAGCGTGTGCGCGTTGCGCAGAGATTAGTACAACTCGATATCTCCAGGCAAAGTTGAGATTTGTTAATTTTTGCATGGCGTGATTTATAAAAAAATTTAATATTTGAAATTTATGCCAAGTATTAAAAGCAATATATATTTTCTGACACTTTTATAATTATTAAAAAGAGCAATTTTTGTAGGGATAAAAAGAGCTTGTATTTGCTGGTAAAATGTCCGATGATTAAAATTACACAAAATAAACATTATCGAAAAAATAAACTATCAAACATATATACATATATCTTGTATAATAATTTCTACAACAAAATTCGAAAAAGAATCTTTAAATATTAATGTATTAGGTTGATCATAGAAAGTTCTTTCGAATTTTTGCCTTTTATTTTTATGGAAGAATCCGAATCAAACTTTCTGTAATCAATCCAATATGTACGCTAAATATAAATTCAATATTGAATATATATATATTCAATTTCTTTATATACAAAATAAAGTTCTAGTTTAAATTTCTATAATTGGATATTATTAAAAAGTGAAATTATACAATATATATGTCTCAAAAAGTTCTATATATTTAGATAGGAAATTTCAGTTTTGCCACATATTTTACTCACCTGTGTAAACACATCCAGGTGTTAAACATGTATCATCGCACTCCGCACTTTTTTGAAAGACGTGAACACCTTTCGACGCTTCTGATCCGCTTAACGCTTCGGCTGTGGATGGTAGCATCTCTAGATTAACAGGATCTGTTCTCGTGCGGATGCAGGTGCGGTTGCAGGTGTGAAAAAAAATGCGTAATAGCGATAAATTAGTATATGCAAAGCATCGGGTTATATAAGCTGCGATAAAACGTAAATTGCATACATAGCAAAATTTAATAGCTAAATAATTTCTTTCTCAGGCAACTAAAAAGTATAATAACCGTGCGTGTCTACATTACTGTAATTAGGTCATCAATTCTATTCTATCTAAAAAAATATAAAATATAAAACTTCTCAAAAAAATAAAATAATGTATTTTTCAAAAAAGAAGCAAAAGAAGAAATCTTTTTGCGTTGGCAAAGTATAGTTCTGCAAAATCAACTTGTATTGCATAATAATAAATAATTTATTTAATCTATCTTCACTCTGCAACATAACTACATTTAATTATATCACATTTAAAAGGACTTAATTATTAAAAATTTATCTCCTAACTATAATAATAGACAAGAAAATTCATAGACTGGAATAATTGTATACATATCACGACTTTCTCTTGATCTAAATGTATTTGTGTAAACGCGCGTGTTGCTTCATCTATTATTACTCTCCTCGTTGGATTACGTATGTAATCATTACGTGTTCACGTGGGAAAGCGCAATGCCTACGTCAAACCACCGTACGCCAAGTACCATATATTCTGTCGGCTTTTTTTAAATATTCTCCGAAAATATCTTGGATGCGTCAGTGCGACTATGCAAATTCAATTTGCGAATCAAACTGACGCGCGACGAAAATATATTAGCAATAGGGGTGCGCACATTGTAAACTGGCGCGATTACGCGTATAACCGCTTGTTACTAGTGTAAACGGCACGCACCGCGGGTGAGAACTCGCAACACAAAGTTTGTTCACTAGAAATATCAAAGTGTGTCATTCTTTCGTTGACGTCATATGAAATTGTACTTTTCTTAAAGAATTATGATTCACTTTTTTAAGAGACACACGTCCCTATTTCAACAAAAATATCACGTTCATATTAATCACCGATTATATTAATGTGAAATTAATTTAAAAAAGCAAATATTGCAAAATTAATTTTATTTAAATTTATTTTCACAAGTAATTTGATTGCTTTTTAATAAAACAAAATTTTTTTTAATTAAGCTAATAATAATTTAAACTTTTTTATTTATAAAACTCTTTAATTAATATATTTATTTACATGTTTTTTTTACGCAGAAAATATTTTGGATATAAAATATTGATTCTCTTGCTTTTTTTAAATTAAATTTTAATTCAAACTCTTTTCTAACAAGTTTTTATTCTTTAGTTTGTATTTCATTGCTTTACATCTGATAACAAGATGAACACGTTGATAATTAAATAAAGCGGGACTGTTTTTGAAACGTCATATTCTTTCTTACACGCACGTGTTTAACGAGTCGGTGAAATACTTCGATACGAAACGCATATAAGGCGCCAACGAGGAAATAAAATTTACGATGACGGCGGTGCAATTCCGCGCCTTACTTTCGCACAGTTAAAAATTTTTACGGCGCGGACACATACCGTTACCGCGAACGGTTTTGATCGTAAATGTAATCGCCGCTTGTCGCATGGGCCGTTAAAATGCACATATCATACTTCCTCAAAGACATTGAAGAAAAACGCGATGCACAGGTTTGTGCATATCGTGTAAAATAATCTCGATGATAGGTTTAATAGCAATTAAATCAAACAATGATTAAATGTATGATTTAAGTGTTATTAAAATTTCTATTAACATTTTTGCAACATAAAGATAAGTTTAGCCTCTTTAGGATATCTTTTATTGCGCATTTTATTTTGATACAAGAACTTTATCAGGTTATAAATAAATAATTTATCGGATTATAAATAAAGTAATTTGCACTAACAAGCACAGAAAAAACTCTTGCTATTTAAATAAAATTTTAATCAGAAATTATCGTCGATAAATATTTTTGTAGATGTTTATAAATTGTTATGTTTAATTAATTATTTAACATATCGTAAGACTTTCATATTTATTGTGCAGAGTTAAAAGTAGGAATGTCTGATGAGCCGATTCATACGTTTCGTTGCAAGTTGTTTATTGCATAAGTTACTGTACAAGTTTGCGGTTGCTATCACTTCTTGTTCGTTACTAGCAATTTCGTTCCATGCATTAACAATTAATGTAATTGCTTGAGGTGAAGTAATGTCTTTGTCGCAACACGAGATGCAAATTGTCGCGTATGCATACTATATGCATGATATTTTGCATGTATAGGCTCGGATTTACAAATTACGTTGCATAAATTGAAAGGG